CAGCCTCGCCTCTGCTCCACTCTCGGGGCTGCTCCCCTCTTCGGGGCCCACGGGGGTCGCCGCCCCAGCTGGGCATCCCTCGGCGCTTGGCGGGGCCCCGGCCCGCCGGCACGCCGGGCGCGGCGCGCGGCGGCGGCGCGAAGGGGCCGTCCGCGCCCGCGTCGGGCGCGGCGGCCGCGGCCGCGGGTGGCGGCGCGGCGGCGGGCGGCTCGCCCACCTCTCTTTTTTTTTGGGGGGGGGAGAGGATTGAGGGGCACGAGGGAGGGGACGAGGAGGGGGACGATCGCGCAAAGCCATCACGTGCACGATTGCCCTCAGCTCCGTCCGACGGGCAGCGTCCCTGGTCCGACACCCTCAGGCTTGAAACTGACAGCGACTGAAGAAGGAGAGGAGGAGGAGGAGGAGGACGAGGAGGAGTAGGAGGAGGAGGAGTAGGAGGAGGGGGGCGGGGGGGGGGGGAAGCGGAGGAGGAGGAGGAGGAGGAGGAGGAGGAGGAGGAGGAGGAGCAGCAGCAGCAGCAGCAGCAGCATCAGAAGGCCTGCTCCAAGAACTGCTGCAGCCGGTAGAGGCCCGTAGCCAGCTCTGTGATCTGGCTCTTGAGCTCCTCGCGCCACGGGCTGTAGTAAAAATCGCCAGGGAAAGTAAGAGAGGGAGATTGAGAGGGGGATACATATATACGCACTTGTATGCGTACATACATGCATACATACATACATACATGCATGCATGCATGCATCCATCCATACATACATACATACATGTATACATATGTGTACACCTACCTTACATTCACATGCATGCATGCATGAATGCATACGTACATCTATACATGCACCCACACATACACACATACATCCACAACCATAAATACATATACACATATATGCATACAAACAAACATACACACACATACACCCACATGCATACATAATGCATCCATGCATACATACATGCATGCATGCACGAATGTATACATCCACATATACATACATGCATGCATGCATGCATGCATGCATGCATGCATACATACACACACGTACATACGTACATACGTACATGCATACATATATCCATGCATAACTACAACAGTACATACATGCGTTCATGTATGCATACAAACATACATACATACACACATACATACATACATACATACATACATACATGCAGGCAGGCAGGCAGGCAGGCAGGCAGGCAGGCAGGCAGGCAAACAGACATACATACATACATACATGTGCAACATATAGATACAAGACTGCAGTGGCGCTTCGCGCCATGCACCTTGGCTCTTGAATTGTGGCATGCAGGCAGAATGGCAGGAAGGTCAAGCCGACAATTTAGCAATAACTCCTTGTTGCCTTTTCCAACATCGCCGTTATAATAATGTCATTCGTTATCCTTCCTCCATGCTTATTTTTCCTCATTCTCGCCATACCCTGCGCATCCTCCCCATCCTCCTCAGCTCTTCTTGCGGAGGCTCCTCCTTGGAGAGCTTTTAAGGGGCCTCACAACAATTTGTTTTCTGACATTTCTTAAGACCTTCTGAAGGCCTCCTTGGCGTGTTCTGGGGCCCCCTGAGGGCTTCCTCGGGCCACCCTACCTCCAACCGCGGTCTCCCTGAACGACCAAGTCACGATTTGGAATGCTTCGGAGGATGTTTGGGGGCCATCTTGGGCCGGCATGGGGCTCTCTCAGGGCCATCTTGGACCCATGTTGTGACGTTTTGGGGCTCCCTTGGACTGTCTGGAAGCCCTTTCGGATGGTTGTGGGGCGATTTTGGAGACTCCCAAGCGGCTTCGGACGCCGGCAGACCGCCGTCTTGGAGCGTCGGGAAGCCGAAAAGAGGAGAACCCCGAAATTCAACAAAAACCGAAAGAAAATCTATGATTTGTGCCTCTTGGGGCCTTCTTGGGAGTGCTCTTGGAAGCCTCTTGGGACGTTTCGGGGCGATCTTTGGGGGTATAATGGCTTGGGGAGCGCGCCGGAGCACCTGGAACCTGTCTGGGGCCGTCTTCTGGCTCTCGTGTTTCTCCCTGGTCGTCTGAAGGGTTTCCCAGAGGCCCGGGGAGGGCCAAATTCTTTGGGGGGGGGGATATTTCTGGCGTCCCCAGCCCCGTGAAAACATATGAATAGGAATAAGTATAATCAGAATAAGGAATAAGCATATATGTAGAGAGAGAGAAAGAGAGATGGAGAGAGAGAGAGAGAGGAGAGGGGGAGGGTGCAGCGGGTCCTTCCCGAGCCGTCTTCTGGCGGTCTGCTGGGGTCTGGGGAATGCTGGAAAGAGCCGCATAAATCTGGGACCCCCCGCTCTCCAAGGCGAATGATTCCAATAGAGGCCTCTCCGTGCCAGAAAGAACAGCTCTCCAAGGCGAATGATTCCAATAGAGGCCTCCTGGATGGGGTCCGAGGAGATGGGGTCGAGGATCTCGCCACATCGCCGATACATCTGCGATACATCGCCGGTGCAGTGGCGATGCACCGGCGATGCACTGGCGAC